CGGCATGTTTTGTCTATCACCAGTTGCATTTTCTGGGGCTTTTCGCTATGGTCGGAAACCGGAGAATCTGGAGGAAACCCATGCCGAGCAGGGAGAGAGAATAGAAGCTCCAAACAATGACGCTTACTGAAACCCTCATGTAGAACAAGGGGAGGACATTCCAACTCCATTCATTCACACGCTCTCTCACCCTCATGCAGAACAAGGTGGAAACATGCCAACTCCACCCAAAATAGAACCCGTCTGGAATTACTCTCATACCCTTTCTGGTGCACCACTCTGCCTCCCAATGCATACTTATTTAATTATTTCTGTCAATGTGGTGTTGACCTTGGATGCACCTCATGTAACTCCTAAACCCCGTCGATTCGGTTGCGTTGGATTGTGTGCTGACTTTACTGTTTCCTAACTTGTATTCTCCTGCACTCTTCAGTGTTGCTTGCAGCTGTTAAATCCAATGTCGGGGTTAATGTTTGTGTTGTATCGACTTGTTCATTCAATTCAGGGCCGGAGCCTTTTGCTCCCGCAGAGTTCAGAGCCGCCACGTCGCTCAGCAAGAGGGGCGCTTTTTACACGCTTTCTATGAACTCACTCTGTCTGTTGTTGTATCCTCAAATCTTGTAACTCAATTATAACCCACTTCCCGATGTGGTATCGACTGCAAGCTTGATATAATTATGTCATACTAATGACAATAACTGTATTCTATCATAAAAGTAAATAAATAAAACATTTTAAACAATATTTTTTTATACATTATGTTTCGGCTTGGGTCTAATTGTCTACGCTCAACTGGCGTTGCCTGTAAATCACCACGGTCCCTCACGTTATGGCAAGCTTTGGCGCCACTTCCAGGAGTCATGGAGTTCTTCCATTGCTAGTAGGGTACATTTCATTAAAGCGTGTTTTTTTTTAGTTTTCAAAAATATTACTTATTGTAGGAGATAGAAAGCAATCGGAAATTTACCCCCCATGGTATCTTTGTCCTTTGGCGATCCCGCACTGACCAACCCGCATAGTTTGAGGTGACCCTCATCATCAGGTGTAGTTGTCAGCAAATATCAGAGGAGGCTGGAATTGAGAACATTGCCTGCTATAGCAGCAAACAAGAGATCTACCCACTGACAAGACTTTGTCCTTGTGTTAACACCGCCTTCTACCACCAAAACCCCGCGGGGGTGGAAAATGGAGCGGGGACAGAAGGACCATTGCCCGTAACGTCACCGATTTAAAAAAAATATTTTAAGGCCACAGCGTTTATTGATGAATGCGTAAAATTTTTTGGTGACTGGCTCAGGATGAGTTTAGCTGTGCCAGTTCAATGCAGTCTGGAGCACCCTCCACCCCACAGGCATGCACGATGGATGAGCTGACCCCCTCCCCCACCTTCTCTCCGCACTTTGGTAGAAGGAACTAAAAACATTCGTGATATTTGAGTAAAAATATGGAAACTGAAAACTGTGACTATTGCCCAAACACAGCTAGTAGTAATAGTAATACTAGTAGTAATAGTAATACTAGTAATAATAGTGATATTAGTAGTAATAGCAATACTAGTAATAATAATAGTTCTGTACAAAGTGCCGGTCATCTCATAGCAATGTACAAACACAGCAGCAGCCAATCGGCGGTGGCCATAGCTCACGAAACACGGCAACACAATGAAGGAAACACTAAAAGCCATTTTCTGAATTGGCTAAAACCAACTACTAACTATCAACGAAGTAACTATTTTTATTTTAGCAGTTAGGGGCCACTGAGCTAAAAAGCTATTTTTCAGAAGCCACCTGGCCCCAAACGATAGAGCAATGAAGTTGATTATCACGTGGAAATTTATAGCAGCCAAATACTCTAAACGCATTTTTTTTATGTGGAGGGAAAAACAGGAGGATCCGGAGAAAAATCCACGTGACCACGGGGAGAACATGCAAACTCCAAACACACAGGCGTCAGGGTCGAGATAGAACCCACGCCCTCCTGTATACCAGGCGAGGTAGTTAACTTCTCGCGACTGCGGGGCCCAATGATGGTTAAAGAGAAATATAGATACGTTGTAAGGCAAGTTTTAAAAAGGGTCCACAGACTCAGAGATCCCAATAACTCATTTGCCATTAACTCTGCCTTATCCACTACTCAACAAACACCACCGCCACTCGCCACTAAGTGGCGGTGACGTCACCATGACGCTTGTGCCAGGCTATGTGCACGTTGAGGCCACGTGAAGTGTCGCACGCCCACTGGCAGGAGGTCACGGAACAGACCCAAGTGCCACGGGTCGACTGACTGAGATGACTGAGATGACTGGCTGATGCACCACCCGTGCCCCCTACTGTGCCAACCTGCTGTGCTTTCAGCCACCCGACACTCCGCTCGTTGTTGTGAGCATCGCTCCTTTGCCCTCCGTTGTTGTTCGAGGGCGACTGCCTCCAACTTCCCAGAAGCGTCCTTCACGAGCCTCCTCCATATCAGACTGCCACATACATAAGTACGGGACTACACTGGGAATTTATAAAATACAAGATAGGTGGCCGGATGTCTAAAATCCGGAGAAGAAGGCATTGCAGCAAGAGACGGCAGGTGGTAACTAATAAAGGGCAGAGAGAGAGATTAAAAGGGAGTGTCACCGATGGTCGGGGCATTTGCTCGGAAACTAATCAGCGACCACAGGTGGACGACACCGGGGTTGACTGTTCGAGATCAGCTAAATGAAAACCATCGAGGTTGACTGTTGGAGACTCAACTTGGTGGAAACCATCTGGGCTGTCTGTTCGAAAAACAACTTGGTGGAAACGACTGGGGCTGAAGAAAGTCGTAGTAATCACGAGTGTGGTGGTTGTTACGCTAGGAACTGTAAATACGTTCAGTTAGAAATAAAGCTCTACCTTCAAATATGGATGTCTCCAAGGAGCTTCTTTAAACATGCACACACACGAATACATCGTTAAGTGTGTAAGTGATGAGAACAAAACAAGCATAAACAAATAATAATACAGGCTGGAAAACCATGTGTCAAACAAGATACACACATTCCCTTTTATTAATGCACAGTCATTTGTGGATATGCAAAAATCCCCATCAGCATTTCCAGAATCCGTACCGGTAAGGTTTAAAGTTACAAATCACATTGCAAATGTAGCTGAATCCAGCACTAATCTTCTGCTTCAGGGATAAAGGAGGACAAGGCAATGGCTTTGTCAAGCTGAGAAGGGTGGGGTGAACACTTGAGGTAGTCGGTCACTCAATGGCACACTAGTGTAGGGGGCACAACGTTTATTCTACACTTTCCACAGTACAGGGGATAACTACACACAGGTCAGGATAACCGGCACACTGCCTAACCCAACACCGATGAGAAGGTGAAGACGGGGACGAAGAATTGCTTAGACGACGGGTTCCATTCCCAAACCGCAGCATCCCTGACCCAGCGATGGGGCCTCCCTTTTATCCTCCCCAGCGTGGCCTGGCTCCGCCCTCGGCCACGCCCCCTTCTGGAACCTACTAGAAGGTTCTCAGCTTCACCCCACGTGTCCCCTCTGTCACCTTTACTCTACATTAGTTACCCCGGCCTATCACTTGCCCTGCTGGTAGACTGGGCTACTACACCCATAATCCCGCTCTCTACCTGTAACCAGCGCTACACGCTCTCGTGACCCATTCTATGTCACTACACTTGTACGCAGATCACAGCCACACAGACACAGATGCACACCATCACTAAAAAAGGACAAAGATCCCCCATATAGCCTTAACAGACTGTTGGGGCAAGTGCTGTTCGCGAGTAGTACCTATGAAGGCCGGCACGGCAGACGAGGGGGTGGGTGGCCAGCACCACGCCCAGCCGCCTTTATCTCCCCAGTGACGATGTTTACACACCACACAGTAACGGGCAACTTTCTCCACCCGTGCTGAATAGCATTGTGAAGCTACGTCACATAACGCCTCTATGGCGTGAAGCCCCAATCACAGCACGCAGTTCCCAGCATTGAGAATCACTGAGTATGAAGAAAACGCCTGCGTTTTCCACCAACATGGACCCCAACTGAAAACGAAGCAAACCATTTCAAATAGTTACATTGGGATATAGTTGGACTTTGTGGTGAGAAGAAGATATTTATGAGGATGACTATTGAAGCACAATTATGCGAATTCACTGGAACATTAACTTGATGACTTTGTAAATTGGTGGGGAACACGGCCAGTATTGGTTGTAGGGGTCACGCAAGGGTCAAGGGACTACACCCAGAGAAAAATTGGATGCGATTGGAGGAAAAACCCCAAAAGATACGTTTTATTTTTCGTGTAGATTTTAGGTACAGCTGTGGTATAATAAAATATTTAAAAATACTTGAAAAAAACGCTTTAATGAAATGTACCGTACTCGTAATGGCAGAACTCCACAACTTCAGGAAGTGGTCCCGCAGCTTGCCATAACGTAAGGGGACCGTGATGATTTACAGGCAACGTGAGTTGAGCGTGGACAATTAGACCCGTAAAAAAGATTGTAAAAAAATACATATTTATAATTTTTAATGATAGAATATAGTATTGTCATCAGTATGACATACCTATACCAAGTTTGCAGTCGATACGACATTGGGAAGATGGTTGAAATTGACTTACAAGATTTGAGGATACAACAGAGTGAGTTAAATAAAAGTTTGTAAAATGTTTAAAAAGATGTATTGACATGTTTTTTTTATGATTGAATATAGTCTTGTCATCAGTATGACATAAGTATACCAAGTATGCAGTCGATAGCCCATTGGGAAGTGGGGAAAATTTGAGTTACAAGATGTTTTAAGGATACGACAACAGACGGAGTGAGTTAAATAAAAGCGCGTAATAAAAATACATAACATCAACGTGGACTGAACCCCATCACCACCACCCCGCGACTATTGAACAGCCGGATGCTACAGATCGAAAGTACTGGAGGTGTTGGTCGACCGGTCTTTAATTCACCGTAAAACTATTTTCTGTTCCAAAAGTCAGTCCCGCTCTCATCCTCGGACATGGTAACGTGGACAAGCCTGGCGCTGGCTGTTTGTGAGCCCATTGAGGGTGGGAGCAAACGCCCACAGCTGAGAGGGGTGCACGGCCAATTGAGAGAGCACGAACAGGAAGGACCCGGTACGGAGCTGCACGCGACTCCTCGCCAGGTGCCTCTCTCTGATTGGCTCGCGGGCTCCATAAGAAGAGGCTGCAGAGTCCGCGCCAGCAATAGAGAGGGGGGGCAGCTGGCGGCCTCCGACCGCCACCTCGTGATGGCGCAACGCGACCAACGCGACCAACGCGGACCAGGTACGGTGCACGGTGCGTGACTCTCATCAGCGGGACCTCCAGTTCGCCCTCTTCACTCACCAGACCAAGTGCATTTTGAGCAAACGTTTTTTTGAAAGCTCTATGATAGATTTAAAAAAAATATTCGTCCAATAACGTGATCTGTCTGGGAACAGGATGTAAATGTAACAGTGAATGAGTTAGAAGTTAAATGAACTACAGTACCGTCACTGCTCTGCCATGTAGAAGAGCTATTGCCTGAAATCTCACCTGTTTAATAAACAGTATGGAAAATTCATATTAGAGGTTTCAAGTTATTTGCTATTCACCATTGCCAAAACGGTATCATACAAATATCGCAAACACAGTCCGCTACAGTCAGCAGGTGATTGTAAAATCCACGCAAATATTACTGCACACGACATCAGTCGGGGCCATGAAAGATACTTCTTACAAAAACATGACGTTGTTGAACTTGGAGTACTTTATAATAATTATATAATCTGAGTTAAGTTCCACTTCACGGAAACCTTGTGTAACGGTGAGCTTCATCATTGACTTCTTCTCAAGCCGTAAGAGCACCGATGAGTCCTTACACAGCGTTCTCAACCTAACTTGATGGCAACTTAACAACTAAATTCAGTTTAGGTGGCCTCTGTCAGATGCAATGGAATGATCGGTGGGGTTCAATGTCCGAGTGTGTAATGTCTCATCCCACAGGTGTTTCTGAGGAGCAGCTCTTGCCGAGCATGAAGTCCATTGTTGAAGCAAAACGCCCAAAAGAACGACTGCAGAGAAGGTGCTTTTTTGGCTTGTTACAATTCATTATGCCGCAGTCGGACAAACAACGGAATCATGTATTTTGTTAAAGAAAATATAAGAATAGGTTTTTCCCCTTTTTTTTCCTGTTAAACAAAATTTGTTTAATACCAGAAAACTGCACCGGTTTTTACATTGTGGAAAAATGCTCCCAGGCTCGGATGTGTAGACCAATCAGTTTCAAGGACAATGTGTATATATAATCAGAGGTTTTTTTTTGCATTTTGACCACAGGTATTGTGGTTAATGCAGTAACATGAATCCTTGTAAAAAGGGTTTCAGTTTTGTTGCCAGAAAAAATTCGCCTAGTTATTTCAATGCTAAATTCTCCTGTTTTGATTTGTACTAAGTGCCTCGGTGAATGTGTATGCTCTGACTTCAACGTAACTATTTCTGTAGCAGTTACAAGCGAATGCCTTAATTTAGCTATTTCAATGCTAAATTCTATGCTAATTCCTTTTAACAATGGGTGCCTCTGCGGATTTGTATGCTTTAACTTTTAACATAGCTATTTCTGTGACCAGTCACAAGCTAATCATTCAGCCTTTTCAATGCTAAATTTTATGCTAATTCCTTCGTCAAGGCTCTTTGTTCCTCTCACACAGCTTAAAAGCCGTGATCTGAACGTGGCTCTCTCACTCCAGCGCTGTCCTACCAGACAGTCTCACTCCCTTCACCTGATGAAGGCCGCTTGTGTTGTGGCCGAAACGTCGTGAGAATATTATTGTGTTATTTTATTTTATCAATTTATTATTTTATTCTCATTCTACGTGACTTTACCGAAAGAACCAAAGAAGAAGAAAGACCCTATTCTTAGTTTTTTCGGTAAAGTCACGTTAAAGAGAAACAACAAAATAATAAAATATATATAAAACAATACAAAAAATTCTCACGACGTTTCGACCATAACTCAAACGGTCGTCTTCAGGTGTGTTGGTTCGCATAAATTTATTTTTAAACGGCGCATTTATTTATTTATAAAAAAACGTTAGCGCCACGCGCAACGATTTGGCAGTTTACCCAGGACTAGTCCATCTATATTTTGAAAAGAGGAGGGGGGAGACGAAATTTTTTATAATGTATGCTGTCTGAAAGCCACTGTAAGCGTGAACAATCAATTAAGAACTGAAATGGTTTATCAAATCTTTCCAATGATTGCTAAGATAGAATCCATCTTCTCGGTTGAAATTGTCTCGGTGCTTGTATATGTGGATAGCCTCATGAACGAATCTCTCATGGAAGCCAGATGGCTTACAAAGAACCTCTGTCTTGGAAAAGTCAATGGCATGTGAGCCCACTGAATTAGAACAATGATCTGCTACGGCCGAGGTGTTGGTCCTACCGTGTTTAAGGTCTGCTTTGTGTTTTTATTGTTTTATATATATTTTATTATTTTGTTGTTTCTCTTTAACGTGACTTTACCGAAAAAACTAAGAATATGAATTACTGCAGTCACGAAAGCTTTAAATCAAAATTTATGAAAGACCCTATTATATATTTTTTCGTGAAGAGATATTGAGAAGGAGGCGTATTGTTTTCTTAGTAAGAGAAGCAGAGAAGGGAGAGCTGTGAGGAACCTGGGGGCTGGAGTCTCGCAGATTTTGTCTCTATTGATGCAGGGAGGCAGCGCCGCAGTCGTAACTCGCCGTGCCTCACAGCCAGAAAGAGCCTCGATTCTATTCCTGAATCGGGTGCCCTCCTGTGTAGAGTTTTTATCCTCTCTCTGCTTTCCATGCGTTTTGTCCGACCCCCCCCGCCCCCATAACTAAAACAATGCGTGCAAAATAACTGGTATTGGCCAAATATTATAAGTTGGCAGGACCCTCCTGAAAAGTCTTCAGAATCAGAGAGGCTTCCCGGGTAAATAATAATAATAACAATCGTTATGCTGTCAACATGAGTTCAGATCAGGAAGCGTTTTCACTCGATCTGAGCTGTTAACAACCGGACTTTGCTGCATGAAATCTCCAGCGAAACGTCCGTACAGATTTGAATATTGTAAGATTGCTCTCTAACAACAACAATAAGAGTGGTGGTGCAGCTGAAGCAGTGGTAAATTTGGCCACTTTTGATTCACGTTCACCACAAGTACTCTGCGTGGTTAATGCAGTGCTTGATGACGCCTTGGAAAAAAAAGTATACAAATACACTACACACTACTACTTTACACCACTACTATACACTGCACCAGGCTATGCGTTAATTGTGTGCTGACCGAATCTCTGTTGCATTGCACTACATTTCCAAATGTTGCTAAGTTTGTTTGGTTAAGTGTGCTCCCTCTCTCTCTCTCTGTCCTCGTGTTGTAGTAATTCTTGTAGTCACGAAAGCTCCAAATCTCTAATTGACATGCTAATTTATCTACCCCCCCCCCACCTCTCTCTGCCCCACTCTCTCTCTCTCTATTTAAGGCCTCGACACAGGCGTTGCTTCTATGCGTGCCTATGGGTGTGTCTCTGTTATCTCTCTCTGCTTTTGTGTATGTCTATGTGTCTTTTTATCTCTCTCAAATGTAGCAATCTTTGGAAGAACGTAATCAACCTGGTATGGTGTTGACTTATGTTAGCCGACTCTGTGTTGTATTGCATCACATTTTCCTATGTATACTAGGTTTGTTTTCTCTTTCATTTGTACCTGATAATGATTGCTTGTGTACCAATCGAAACGTCATATGCTATTATTAAATGTATTTTCTTTCTACGTTACTTTACTGAACGAACCAAAGAGTAATACCTGCAGTCACGAAAGCTCCAAATCAAGTATAATATGTTGTGAATATATAAATAAACAATGTATGCATGAGCGTTATAATATATATGCACATAGCTGTGTTAAAATGTGAATACATCCATATGATGTGGTTCAGTAATCTACTAATAGCAGGATGTAAATTTAAACTATGTTTTTGCCAAATGAAAGTTTAAATGGTGGTAAAATGTAAACCCTGTTCGGCATGTCCTGTAAAAATGGAGTCCTTAAGCTCATCCCAAGTGCATGGTTAGTGGAACACAGTCCTTATGAAGATGCTGTCTCGTGTATAAGGTTACCGAGGGGCGATGTGGCACTAGAACAGGGAAGGCATCTTTATCTATCCTGGGAATATCCTATGAGCAATGAAGCGCTTTTTCACAGTTGTCTAATCGGGGTGAATGAGCAAGTTACAAACAACGACAAAACGAACTACAGGATGACTCCTGACTAATGGGGGGTTACGTTCTTGAAAATTTTCACAATCAATAAATCTGCAATACGCAAACTAAAAGGCAATTAGGAAAATGAGGGTATGGTTCGTAATGACACCAACCCATTTTGTTCCAATGTAATACTATATGAACCCAACATTAAAAAAATAAGTGTTTTTGAATGTAAAATATGACTTATATTTTCTTCTTTAAATATATACGGTAATTGTATAGAATTAAAAAAAACGGAGTGCACAGTACTGTACACGTATAGCTGTGCAGCGCTGTACACTACAGGAAGAAAAATCGTGGGTGGCTGAACCTCACGGCCTCGTCAATGGATGGAGACAAGATGACGCCGCGTGTGTTTTTCCATTGCTCGGGAAGCCGTTGCTAGGTACACCGTTGCTAGGGGCGCCGTCGCTAAGGCTGATCGTTGGTTCTAACGGCACCGTCGCTAGGGAAGCCGTTACTAGGTACACCGTTGCTAGGGGCGCCGTCGCTAAGGCTGATCGTTGGTTCTAACGGCACCGTCGCTAGGGAAGCCGTTACTAGGTACACCGTTGCTAGGGGCGCCGTCGCTAAGGCTGATCGTTGGTTCTAACGGCACCGTCGCTAGGGAAGCCGTTACTAGGTACACCGTTGCTAGGGGCGCCGTCGCTAAGGCTGATCGTTGGTTCTAACGGCACCGTCGCTAGGGAAGCCGTTACTAGGTACACCGTTGCTAGGGGCGCCGTCGCTAAGGCTGATCGTTGGTTCTAACGGCACCGTCGCTAGGGAAGCCGTTACTAGGTACACCGTTGCTAGGGGCGCCGTCGCTAAGGCTGATCGTTGGTTCTAACGGCACCGTCGCTAGGGAAGCCGTTACTAGGTACACCGTTGCTAGGGGCGCCGTCGCTAAGGCTGATCGTTGGTTCTAACGGCACCGTCGCTAGGGAAGCCGTTGCTAGGGGCGCCGTCGCTAAGGCTGATCGTTGGTTCTAACGGCACCGTTACTAGGTGCACCGTTGCTAGGGGCGCCGTCGCTAAGGCTGCCCGTTGGTTCTAACGGCACCGTTGCTAAGGACGTCGTTGCTAGGGATGCCGTCGCTAACGGCACCGTTGCTCATGGTGTGGTTTGGGGTGTGGTGAGCAGCGCAGTTATGACGCGTACGGAAATCTCGCAGTCAACCGCGAATGGTCGACACACAGTGGTCGTGATTAGCAAACTGTACCTCAATAAATTTGGCGCAAATCCGCGACGGTTAACACGCGAGAGGGGATAGTTTGCTGTACTAACAGAAATAATGAGTGGACAGAGTCCTGCCCATACAGATGGTGGGTGTTGCATGGAGCGTGGTCAGCAGAAAGCCACGAAGCTGTCGGTTAAAGGAGGGAAGAGAAGAGTTGAGCACAGTTAAGGGAGGTGAAGGGTCGATGAAAGGGTGTAGAAGGGCAGTTAAGCCTGGGTTTTAAGAGCGTTCTGTAAAATTTCACATAAATAATACTCTGACACTTTTTTTTCCTGTCACATTCTGCCCCTCTGGTTGGCTGCTTAGTCGCGGTGACGTCACACACTACAACCAATCGGCGTGCACAACAGGACTCATTACCATAATTTTATACACTGGCTGCTCGCTGAGCGTTGCCTCACGGTACGTATCGCCTGTAAACGTGATGATACAAATGTACGATAATAAAATAAAGGTGAGGCACCCTATCCATACAATAATTAATAATCCTGTGCTGCAAAACGCAGTTTACGGCCGGGTCGCCACCTTACAATTTGGCCTGGGGGGGGGGGGGGGGGTGGTGGCTCGGCCAATCTCCTGGCACTGGGAAACCGTGGAACCTCCCAATGAGGGGGCCCTCGGGTGAAAACTCATGGTACCAGGTGATTTTCACCACCTCCAGCACCTCCACGAGGCCCTACGTGGGGGTGCATGCGTGTGTTCTATGTGGGGGGGTTGCGACTGGATAGCAGCGCAGGGAGAGTTTTGCTCCGTGGTCGTGGCACCACATGAGCGCGGTTTGGTTTCCACCTCCCGCGATTTCCAAATCTCCAACCGTGTTGAGGCATCCACCACCGCTCTGCCCGCGTACAGTACTTGTCCGCATCTTTTGAGCGTCGTGCAAGCAGTCAAATCGTACTGCTGTAATGTATACCTCGTAAAAGTGTACACGTACAATACCATTAAATTTTGCCCTTAATCATGGCCCCTAAGCATTGGAATGCTGGTGAAGTTGAGCGTAATGTGAAATGTGCTAGGAGAGAGGTTTTTCTTTACGGAAAAAAAAAGTTTTATTTGCTCGGTCGGCCTTGCGCGTGGAGAGAGTGCGGCTTCGGTAAAACGGCAAATTAACTTTATAGCGAGACCCCGGTGTCGCGAATAATTGAACTCGTAACTAATTGATTTATTTTTGGTGGCTCCATCCCACCGCGCACATAAACGCCGCGATCCGCCTGGCACGGATGATTCCATTGGCACGTCGTCCAAGCACGGCGAGGACGAATGCGCAGAAGAGCTGAACAAGCGAATGCACTCCATGCTCGGGTATGGGCAGGATCATAACAAGTCTCATCCAAAGCTGCTCTCTTATCTTCATTATTTTTTGTGACCTACCAATGTCTGCGGCCAGGATCAATCAATGACAATCCCATTCCTTGCAGATATTTAGCAGATAAGATGCGTCGCACTGTTAATTCCTCCTGTGTGATAATACTTCTCTTGTCCGTGTCCATCTGTGCAGAGGTTTTATTTTTGTGGTTAAGCCATAGTACCCACACATACTGCTCGTATCAATGCGTATTAAAGGAGCGGCGACCCTCTACTCTGTAGAGTAACATTTTTATAAACGCTTGTTACAATATGAACAGGGCATTGAAAAAGCGTACTATTTTATGTAGTGTTTACAAAGTGTGTTCATAAATCCACACTGAGAAACACGATGACTGACAGATGGGTGTCAATTTTTTCGTTAGTGTATTTAAATGGAGGTTATATAGTTTTCAGTTGTAAAGGCATAGTTTAACAAGACAACACTGCCACCACTCCTTCAATCCCATTAGTGAAAAAGAGCAAAGTTTTTGTTTACATTCTTATATAATGTTTATATTATAATGTAATGTTTATGCGAGAGCCGGGGACTTATGGGACCCCGGGGTCCCACAATAATGTCCATATGGGTGTGAGCGAGTACACTAAGAACGATTATCATCGTCATCACCATGCTTACTGTCATCGTTATCTGAACTTCACTATCAACTTTTAAGGTAATTAACAGCGTCTTTGTTCACTATAAATATTAAAGGTTCATGCTATACAGTACTGTGCATATTTTCGTATTTACTGAATGCATAAGATGCATAATTAGGCTTAGCTGAGAGTGGCCACTGAACCTAACCCTCTATTTTCCATAAGCCTTTAGTCTTGCCAACCACGATCTTGCCAACCACGATTTTGCCAATCAAGTAGGTGTTCAGGAACCTTACCCCCACGGATGGCGAGGGATTGCTATGTTTTTATTCAATTGTTTTACCCATTTTGGGTTCAAAAGTATAACATTGTTGGAGTCTTCTCTTACTATTTTATATTCTTGGTTCTTTCGGTAAAGTCACCACGTAGAAGAGAAACAATAAAATAATAAAAATATAAAACAATAAGTTTCTCACGACGTTTCGACTGCAACACAAGCAATCATCATCAGGTGTGAAAACCACAGTAAGAAAATTTGAAAAAAGTGGCGTTTTTTTTAACGTTAGCACCACGGAGAGCGATTTGGCAGTTTGTTCAGATGGACGAGTCCATCTATGTTCGGAAAAGAGGAGGGGGGAGACGAAAATAATGGATGTGGTCTGAAAGCCACCATAAGCGTGAACAATCAATTAAGACCCGAAATGGTTTATCACATCCTTCCAATGATTGCTAAGCCAGAATCCATCTTCTCGGTTGAAATTGTCTCTGCGTTTGTATATGTGGATAGCCTCATGAACGAATCTCTCATGGTAGCCAGATGGCTTGCAAAGAACCTCCGTCTTGGAGAAGTCAATGTCATGTGAGCCTACTGAATTATAACAGTGATCTGCCATGGCCGAAGTGTTCGTCCTACCGTGTTGTAGGTCTGCTTTGTGTTTACGAATGCGGTCCGAGACATGTCGTTTTCTCTTGCTGTTTATATACGGTCAAGCTTAGGCAATATTAAACATTTCCGAGCTGGACGTATGCATTAACGGTGTAGAACTACTTTTTGCTGACCCTAGTGGTACCTGGCCAAGTAGATTTAGATGATCCACTTCTCGTGAGCAGCATATTAAAGTATTCTGCTGCAGCATATTAAGGGTAAGGAGGAATACTGGAGGGAAAAGAGATTGTAGATCTTGCTGAAGGGATTACCGTTTGAGAGGCAGAAATTTACCTGATGAGATAAAGTCTGAGATTCATCCAATCCGTATTACGACTAGAGAAATAATCCTAGTATGAAGGAAACTGCCACATTGCATGCCCACTTCCCCACAAATCACCGTATTAGTTGAATCAACCTCGGGGAACATTGCCGTTGGGAAAGCTGCCGCTGGTATGGGTTGATTGATGGCTACCCATGAAGATGGTCAACCCAAAGGCCAAAGTGATCTACTGTTGGAGAAACAAGAAAAATTGTTGAAGTGTTAATGTAGCAATGGAGGATCTCAATAATTTTCCAGGCGTGTATGGTACGAGAGATACAAGGGCGTCACAAGGGTCGAGCGCCTAAGCATAGGTGTCGGAAACTGACATTGCACAATGCGAGGTCTACGATGTGATTGGCTGACTTGCTGATTGAGTGAGGGATTTTCTCTAGAGACTCGATGGATTGTGGCTTGTCATAGGGATTTTGCCATTTAATTCATTTGACAAATGACGGACCAATTTTGCCTCATTAAAGGGTCCTGACGGTGCATTATCAGGAGTCTAAAATGGAGGAGCTGGGCATCTGGAAATGGGAGCCTACGCATCTGCATGAACTTGCGAGAGCTTAACACACGGACCATTAAGGATGTAAGCCTTAGCCAGTTTATTATGGTTTCTCTAGGGGGACAACATTTGAGGTCCATCATGCGTAAGTACATCAGGTTCTACAACAGCTCTATGCACGAGGACGACAGGAGGTACACAGCCTTTGTACTACCCCAATAGAACTCCACAAGTTTAATTTGGATGCCACAGGTTATTTATAACAGCCAAGCCTCTTTCATGTAAATATATTTCGTGTTTGAACATCTTATCACCTGTCTTATTATCAGAAAGGGTGAAGCCTATTCTTATATTTTTTCGTAATTTTGAAACTGGCAAATGTGTCACATCGATGAAATTGGCACATGCGACCCCTTGCATGAACAAGAATGGCAAGGAAACTGGACCAGGAGTTTTGTGTTTATCGATTCCCGGCAAGGTTGCATGCAGATCATGGGACCAATTAAGAAAGTGAAATGGTTACGAATTTCACTAGATGTGCACATTGGACTATAACTGTTCTGATGCAGCTGATGGTTACGCCTGTGTCTTTGAGGAATGCTAAAGCCCGGAGGTGCGTTTTTTCTAGTTTGCTTGTCTCTGCGAGTATTTGGTGGCAGCTTGTTTCACCATAACAGGATCCAGGGTTATGATGCGCATTGAATTATTCAATTGTGCATACGGCAGTTTTGTTGCTTAAACTCCCGGACCAGGCTGGAGTACAGTGAATCTGACACTGAATAAGCTCAAAGATAGGTAAAGAGGGATTGATTAACTTATGATAGAGTGTAATATGAAATCATAAGATAATTGAAATGAGGCAAGACATAATTGCCTGAAATTCTCATTAAATTCAACATGTACTTTGTTTTTTTACAGAAATAAACAAGATCAGTCTGTTCCACCAATCCAAAATGTGGATATCGACAATCGTGCTGTGCATCCCGCGAAAGAAGTACAAACACCAATGAAGAATACACGTTTTGAAAAACTTCTGATGGATTTGGATTTAATGAAGTTCTACCCACAGAAATTGACGCTTGCCAAAGCTTTACAAATATCTAAAGTGACCCGTTCTGAAGAAAAGCCTAAGTGCCTGAAGGACGTGGCTATGCATTTCATTCAAAATTTGCTGAGGGCAAATTCTTCATCCAGGTCCACTGAATTCACCAATAGTGAGACGCTTGTACAATATACTCCTAAATCAACATCTAATTATCGACGTAGGTCCAATCGAGTAGGTAAATCACGAGCATCAAATTCTATTGACATATTGGATTTAATAACCGCACTGTTTCTGTGCTCTGACACCTTCTTACAGCAGGCACTCATGGTGAAGATGTCGCAGTGTCACTTTGCTTTGCCGCTTCTCTTACCCGACTTAAATGAAGGAAATATCACATTTTTAGTGCAGGCCATGCAATCAGTCGTTCACATATGGGGACCCCATCATAAACTGGCCATAAAAGGCTACACCGAGGATTCGATGTCTGTTGTAGCCATGCCTATGATTGCATTTGTACGGCTCGGTGGGTCCAGCATCTCTAAATCAGAGCTGCTCAACTCAATTCTGAGCAATGACAAAGAAGATGTATTCGTTCATCGAGACATGCAAAGTGGTAATTCTCTCAGACACATTTCAAATGGACTTGTGGAAATAAGTTTCTATTTTCCACCTGGGGATAAAAGCTCCGATCTCTGGTCAGACATATTTGCAGTGTTAAATCTCCGAGGCGATGTCAGAGAGAGCCTGACTCAATTAAAGTTTCTGAAAAATGCCTGTGATGCAATGGTTATTCTGATTGAAAATTTTGGAGAAGATGAACGAAAATTTGTAACCACAGATTTTAATTCAAATTCAAAAATGTTTTGGCTGAAAAATACAGATGAAAATGATGAAACAGATGAACTCTTAGAGCAAACCTTAGATGAACTGGGTGTTCAGGACGTAAATGTATGCGATTTAGAGAAAAATAACAAGGTTATCATTGGCAACCTTTTTCGTAAGTTCATGAAGGATGTATTAACTCGCTGTAATGTCACAAATAATCTGAAAATGATATCTGAAAGTGTCACAGATTTAACTATTAAAATTGATGCAAATAACATAAAACGTCAAAGGAGTGCAGAAGCGATCAAAGATATTCTGCAAAAAATGGGAGCCTGTAATGGTGTCCGTGAAAATTGTTTTCCTTGTCAAAGTGAAAAGTTGTGGCACAAATGGTCAGACACAGAAAAAGAATTGTGCCGGTTGAAGAAGGGAAGCGGTCTTGAATATACGAACCAATTGAGAACGAAAAAACGAAATCTCCGCCTTGAACAAGTGAAACGGATTTCACCAACAATGACAGAATTTATTTCAAAAAATTCTAAATTTGATGAAGAGGAGTATAAACTATTCTTACATGGGCTGGAACTCGAACTGAATGATAAAACAAGAAAAACAATGCGTGACAAAAATAAAATCGTCAATGCACTTGGTGCTCATGACATAAGCAAAGAGCTTCAGCCATCAAATATGAAGTCTTCTTTGTCTACGGTTGGTTTGGAGCATTTCTTTCGTGAAGTTGCACAGATCTATGAAGCATCTAAAGATTGTGAGATGCATCCAGATTACAAGAATCTTTCAGCTCGTATGGCACATTTGTTTCTGGATGGATTTCCCATGGAGCTCCTTGATGGAGACGCTGGATGCATTCCCATTGACTGGGTCACAGACGTATTCGGAGAAGTAAACAACATCCTATTGGGAGACGTAAACAACATTCTGAAACGAGACCCCCGCATATTTGTGCTGTCTGTGCTGGGCGTGCAGAGCTCGGGGAAGTCCACGTTGCTCAACACCATGTTTGGTCTGCAGTTCGCAGTGAGTTCTGGTCGCTGCACACGCGGCGCATTCATGCAGCTCCTCCGCATTGACGATGAGCTAACAGAAGAGCTCGGGTTTGAGTTCATTCTGGTGATCGACACAGAAGGGTTAAAAGCTCTTGAGCTGGCAACGCTCGAAAACAGCTATGAGCATGACAATGAGCTAGCAACACTGGCTATTGGTCTCGGCAATGCTACTATTCTTAATGTCAAGATGGAAAATGCAGAAGAAATGAAAGACATTCTGCAGATTGTTGTTCACGCTTTCTTAAGAATGACTGAAGGCGGAAAGAAACCCAGCTGTGTGTTTGTCCATCAGAATAGTGGAGGTGTCTCTGCTCATGAGAAGAATAAAAAGGACCAGGAACGTCTTCTTCAGATACTGAACGAGATGACTGAGGCAGCTGCAAAAATGGAAGAGAAATCGATGTATTATAAACGCTTCACAGATGTTATAGATTATGATGCAGAAAACGACAAATGGTACATCCCTGGACTCCGGGCTGGTGGTTCATCTATGGCTCGGGTCAGTTGTACATATAGTGATGAGGTTTGGAAACTAAAAAAACACCTCCTAGAAAAATGCAAAAAACGTGCAAAGTTGGGAAACATTTACACGTTGCCAGAATTCAGTGCATGGATAAAGACGATGTGGACTGCAATGAAAAAAGAAACCTACGTCTTCCATTTCCGGAACTTTCTTGTTCTTGAAGCATACAACACGTTATGCACTGCATATACAGGATGGGAATTAAATCTACGTATGAATATTATTTCCTGGATGCAAAATGTGTCCAATAAAGTAAAACGTGCGTCACATGAAGAGCTTTTAAATTTGAAAAGAAGCCTCGCTAAAGATGTTGATGATGAAGTTTTAAAAGAAGAATGTAAATTTAAGGACTGTTTGTCAGATTATTTTAAGAAGGTTTCTGAAAAAAACAACCTTGTTGAGAAGTACAGACAGGATTTTCTCATTAGTGTTCAACAATTATGCTCTGTGGTGTCAAATGAGACTCTTAGCAAATGCAAGGAGTGCATCGATACACATGAATGCCTAGAATCTTACAGAAATGTAGAAACTCAGTACAAACAAACTATAGGTGGGAAAGTTAAAAGGGTCTTGGAAAATTGCACACATTCAGACAAAGGATTGGACGAAGAGGATCTTCAGAAGACATTTAATGTAATTTGGTCTGAAACGGTTTCTGATCTCAAAAGAATTACATTGCAAGAATGTGACGTGAAACGTGACATGGAAAAATCATTGCTTTATTTGACGAAGACAGATGCAGGTCACTTCAAGGAAAAGTTGCAAAGTTGTTCTTGGTCTGATATAGGAAAAAATGATTTTAAGACGCTTAATACCCACTACAGTGTTATAATACATAAAGCAAAATCACTTGAGGAAAACACTGCACTAAACAGCATTGTAAATCTCTCCAGTGACATTATTGATAAATGCAAACAATTCATACAAACCAAAGCAAATGCTGCCACAGATTACTGGCCAGCTTACTGTGATGAACTGCTGCAGCAAGTAGATTTGATTTTGAAAAACACACCCGATGATACAAAACAATACAGCAAAAGTTTCGTAATAGACATCAAGATGTATGTTTGCTCCATTGCCATCGACCCTTTCACAAAGCAACATGAGCGTTTTCTCAAGCTAAACGACCCATATACTCGACTTGAAGAGCTTAAAGGATCATATTTCAATTTGCTGACGTCAATGTGTAAAACTGAAGATGGAAAACAAAGAAATATTATCGCCCTTTGTGATGGATGCCTTAAACCCGCATTCTTGGAAGTTCTAAAAGAACAATTAGGGACAATTATAGTCCGGCACGTGAAGGCAAACAATGTTCTTTCAAATCGTAAAGCACTTCAAGCGACTATTTTGTCGTCCCTACTGAATGGAGACGACTTTGACACCTTAACCAGTTTCATCCACGACTCCAACAGCTTCACTATGTCAGTGATTAAGGATCTCATTGTAGAGCATTGCACACAAAAGTATGAAGAGAATAAAGGGAAGCCCTATAAGATCCAATGCTTGGCACAACCTATTCTCGATGGGATCATGGCAAAATTAAACAATGCGATATTAAAAGAAACGGAACACACCGAATCTATTACAGTGGCTGATTTGTTAGAAAAACTAGAATCTAATCTCATAAAAGACATCGTCATGAAATTTGACTTCCTTCAAGTTGTGGGACCCCACACTCTTGAAAACCCAGACAAGATCAAAGAGTTTAATAAAGAAGTTAGTGAAGGAATTAAGCGAGTGAGCTCCGAAATTATTAAAGATTTGTGTAGCTTGGAAAACCTTAACACGTTATTGGATGAAATGCCAGTGAAGCCACATGAAGAGATATTCAAGACCGTGTCTGGCTGTGGGCAACTTTGTCCCTTGTGCAAGGCCCCTTGTGACAGGGGCGGCAGTGCTCATAGGGAGCACGGGGCAGCGATGCATTACCCTCAAGGGCTGTGCGGCAGGAAGTGTAGCGACGGGACTCTGATCGTCGATGTATGCACAACGTCTGTGGCAAAAAGCAAATATTCATATCTAGAAGCACACTCGTTCACTAACGAGGATACTAATGAAGAGGGGTATGAGTACAGGAACTATCGTGAAGTTAATGACTATTACAAATCTTGGGACATTCCACCAGATAGCACTGAGCTGGAGCCACCAATTTGGAAGTTTGTTTTCTCTAAATACAATGAAAAACTTGCTAAGATGTATGAAACCAAATCAGCCGAACTCCCGGAAGAATGGGCTCTTGTAACAAAGGAAGCTGTGGAAAACAACTTGAAAGAAAAATACGGGAAAATAGAAAATATAAGCCTATTTTGGAATCTTATGAAGAATACCATTGACTATATTCGAAATATTGCACACGGTTTTGTGAACATTACTGGGATAAAAAAAAAACATCTCTTCAAACATCCAACCTCACACACGGATTCTCACTAAATTCCCAGTCGAGTAAAATGATCCTGTATACATATGTTTTTCTCTACACTCCTACTTTGAGCGCATATAATATCAAGTCATCCACAATCACCTCACAATCGATTCGATTGTTATACACCGAGGACCTTTATCACACTTTATCTTTTGATCATTTTCTCTATCGGTCTGAAACCGTTTTACCTTGCAAAATCACTTCCTCACTTTCCCCAACAGCTTTTCTCACCTAGGCCTCTTTATATAAAGTAAGAATAAACATAACTCTCTTCCTAAAATGACCTAAACAATCCCACCTCAGAGGACCAGTATTCATGGGGATCAATTTGCCAAATTCTGCTCATGTATGGTGACATAGTTGGACAGGACAAGCATGTCCGTCACTGCACTCGGACAATCACCTTGCTCAACTTTTGAGAGGGACTTTTCAAACATTTTTTTTTTAGATACCAAAAAATGTCATTGGAATCTTGTGATTCTGTGAGATGAATCGAAAATGTTTTTTTTAATTATAGCTTTAATAGCTTGTATATCAATATATTAATAATTTTTATGGTGTAAGAATGTACGTGTTGCTTAAGTTTTAAGAGCAAAGCCCGTGCAGGGATGTAGATCTCAGGGAATTATTTACTTTATAGATGTACAGTAATACTCTCTACCTTGTAATAGTTTTGACTCGTTGCACCTCATGTTGTGAGTATCTCCATCACTGTTGGAGTTACCCAAAGGGACATACCTAGATCCCTCTCACTGTGCTGGCATACAGCGACCCAACTGACTGATCCCAGCTTCCACTGGCGCCTCCTTGAGCGAGCCAGGGACTGAAAGCCGGGGACTCTGGTACTGCCTCTGTTGGAATCATCCCGGGCCAGAACAACCCCGACTCTGGCTTCTTTCTACGGACCCATGCAACACCCACGTATCCTACCCAGCCATCTCAAGAGTCTAAAGACTCTTCGGTTGACCAATTAACATCCCACTCCACAGCTCATTAACCCTGCATCCAACCACTACCCAAAAGCATATGCACTGTCGCAAAACCCAGTTACACAATCGTTATCAGCACTTCAGCCAGAGTGATTCTCTACATCACCTTTGGAGACCAACATGCACTGTACAAGTTAGCATTTGTATCCAGCATCTGTTTAATTCGATCCAGCTTCCAGCCTCCACTACCATGACACTCACCGTCACAACCATCCTCACAACAAAGGCCCCAGCTCAGTAATGCATAGGCACCCATTCGCCAGAATCATCACCCTCCACCTCCATTCCATGCCCACTCCGGAGAAGAAACTAACCATTAGAACTTGGACAAGCCCAGCCTGAGACCAGCTCTGAAGACTCATGACACCACTGGAACAATCACCTTGCTCAACTTTTGAGAGGGACTTCTCAAACGTGTTTTTAAGATACCAAATATTGCCATTGTAATCTTATGATTTGTGAGATGAACCGAAAATGTACGATTCTTTTTTAATGATAGCTTTAATGGCTTGTAAAGCAATATATTAATCATGTTTATGGCGTAAGAATGTACGTATTTCTGTAGTTTTAAGACTTGATTGGTCTACAATTTACGCTTCGATTTATTGGCGAATTGTTACTTCATGTGATTAAACACGACCCCTCCATAGCACCGCTGGTTTGGTTGATTTGTCGAAATCTTTCATCCACATGAAACAGAACAACGCTACCACTCCACCCCCACCCACCAAGCACGTGAGGCACTAGGGGCATGGTGCGTAGCAAGATCTGAAATCGCTGCAACCCTCAAAAACGCTAAGTTGCCACCCAGCAACATCAGCAAAGACGAACGTTTTGAATTATCTCAATTAAAAAATAGGGATGATATTGTCGTCCTCTCAGCCGACAAAGGCAATGCCACTGTCATCATGGACAAAACAGAATATAACAACAAAATTCAAGAACTACTCAACGATGGCAGCTACACAAAAATAAAAAAAGAGATCCCACCAACAGCCTGGTCACCAAAACGAACAAAATAATCTCTGATTCAACAGCATTAATTGATGAGATCAAACAGTTCTCGTTGAAGCCCTCTGCTGCCAGACCACCAAGATTATATGGCCTTCCAAAGATACACAAAGAAGATACACCCCTTCGTCCCATCGTCTCTACTATCAGCTCCCCCACCTACAAACTGGCACGTTTTCTTGCTGATATACTGCGACCTTTCACTAGAAAAACCACCTCTGCGGTACTAAATTCTACTCACCTGGTATCGACAATCAAAGGCATTTCCCTGTCCCCAAACGACCTGCTTGTCAGTTTTGATGTGGTGTCCTTGTTCACCAAAGTCCCGGTACCTGACACCATCGCTATCATTGAAGACCTGGTTCATCAAGGACTGCATACTGATGTACCCCCCCTGGTGAGACATTGCTTAACCAACACTTACTTCACCTGGAATGGAACTTTCTACAAACAAACTGAGGGCACCCCAGTGGGCTCCCCCCTATCTTCGGTTGTAGCCAACGTATTCATGGAAAAATTTGAAACTGACGCCATCCAGACTGCCACTCTACGCCCGACCTTATGGAAGAGGTACGTTGATGACACCTTTGTCATCTGGCCACATGGCCAGCCTGCTCTAGACCAATTCCGCGACCACATCAATTCCATACACCCAGCCATCAGATTTACCATGGAGGTCGAAAAAGATGGCAAACTACCCTTTTTGGATGTCTTAATTAAAAGAAGACATGATGGTTCAATGAGCCACTCTGTCTACAGGAAAGCTACCCATACAGATGCTTACTTGAAACCGGATTCCCACCATCATCCATCCCAGAAGAACTCCCTCATCAAGACTCTATACCATAGAGCCCAATGCATTTCCGACCAGGAACACATTACCAGTGAACTCAAGCACGTACACCAGGCTCTCAGGGCTAATGGCTACTCCGACTACACAATCCGCGAAGCCATCACTCCAGTCATGAAGAAGGATCCTCTTGTGGAGCCACTCAAAACCATCACCTTACCCTACATTGCAGGGGTCACTAAAAATATCTCCAAAATCCTGAACAAACACAAGATCCAGGTCCGATTCAACACAGTACATAAAATCCGTGATTTAGTTCCATCTGTAAAAGATGCTGTTCCAGACATACAGTACCCGGGCGTTTACAAACTAAAGTGCCTCTGTGGTAGTAGCTACATTGGAGAAACCAAAAGACATATCTCGGACCGCATCCGCGAACACAAAGCAGACTTGAAACATGGTAGGACGAACTCCTCTGCCGTGGCAGATCACTGTTATAATTCAGTGGGCTCACATGACATTGACTTCTCCAAGACGGAGGTTCTTTGCAAACCAACCGGCTACCATGAGAGATTCGTTCATGAGGCCATTCACATATACAAGCACAGAGACAATTTCAACCGAGAAGATGGATTCAGGCTTAGTAACCACTGGAAAGATGTTTTTAATCATTTCTGTTCTTAATTAATTGTATTTTTACGATGACCTTCAGACCGCAGCTCTTTCGCCAGCATTGCCTCTTAATACCTCTCACACCACGGTTAATGGTATAGTTTTACAATATGGAGCATACTAGGGCCTCGCAGCTGTCTCTCTCCCCCTCCTCTGTTCCGACCATGGACGAACTCGTCCGTCTGAACGGGGCCCGTAGCTATCCGTGGTGCTGAAATTTGAGGCTTAAAGGCCCTATCTGAACGTGGCTCTTTCACTCCAGCGCTGTCCTACCAGACAGTCTCGCCCCCCTTCACCTGATGAAGGCCGCTTGTGTTGTGGCCGAAACGTCGTGAGAATATTATTGTGTTATTTTATTTTATCAATTTATTATTTTATTATCATTCTACGTGACTTTACTGAAAGAACCAAAGAAGATGAATCATTGCAGTCACGAAAGCTTTAAATCGAAATTTTGGGTGTTGTTATTTCTCTGGATCAAGCATTGGCTGGTAACCACGTCCAAGTATCCAAATATATAACCTGCGATATGAGGTGGTGTTACTTGACCTGGTTAAGATTCATTTTAGGACACATCACACTGATGTGTCCGTTTGAGTGTACGTGTGTGTATGTGTAAGTTTTTGTTGATGTGTGTGTTTGTACGTCTTTGTGTGTGTTTAGCGCACTAAGGTGCCATCTGTTGAGGAAGTACTGAAGGTGATCCAGAGTCTGTGACCAGCAAAGGCACCGGGGAGAGATGATCTCCCAAGCAAAATGCTGAGGGAGGGTGGCGTTTGTGCGCAGACTGCCCTATATGACATCATAACAACAGTCTGGACCACTGGACGGGTTCCGCAGGATTGGAAGGATGCGCTGGTGGTCCCCCTCTTTAAGAAGGGGGACCAGACAGACTGTAACAACTACAGGGGCATCCCACTCCTCAGTTGGCAGGGAAAGGTCCTGGCAAGGATTATTCAACATCGCCTTGCCAGGCACGCTGAGGAGAGGCTTGCCGAGCCCCAATGCGGTTTCAGATGCCATATTTTTTGTCCGTCTGCTACAGCAAAAGTGTAGGGAATTCCAACAAGACCTACATCTCTGCTTTA